CATAACATGCTGTACTCCGTCCGTTGACTGGCAATGCCAAGATGAGATTTATTCCATTTGCAATTGACCCTCAGCCAGCCACATAATTGTCTTGAAAGGTGGCAGGAAGTCGGTGTGGATCCTTTGGCTTAATGATGTGATTCCGCGCTTGACGCAGTGAAGTTAGGCCCATCGGTGTTGCATACAAATGGTGGTTACCAACCGAAAGGTGGATGACGCCTTGGCCTCATGGCCTCGGATGCAGCACACGGACATAAGACCCAAAAGCCAGGAAGAGGAGCTTATGAACGGTTCCCGGCACAAGTTTCGACTTATCTCTCGTTACTCTTAATTTCCGGGAGAGGCATCAGTACAGTACAGTTCAGTTAGACAACTATGATTCGAGCACCGAAGTGCGGTGGATCCAGCTGCCACAAATCACATCGCAAATACAGTAACAAATAACAGTGGTAGGACAGTGGGTTTGGGTGAGTGCGAATAGAATGTAGAGAAAATATAAACATGGAAATGAGTAAGACTAATCAGAAGTGAACAAAAATTAACGACTAGATGGAAGAAACCGAATGGAGGAACGCCAATGACCATGACTGCGCTATGTCTGACACGGTCCCCGACCACTGGTGTGGACCGTCGACACGTGCCAGCCTGATCAAGTCTAGCAGTCAATTTCTTCAAGCCTCGATACCACATCATAGACTGGCTACCTCGCGGTGTCACCCAACTTGGGGCGGTCAATTCGAATAATGCATGCCGAGGAAGCTAATCAAAAGGCATACAGAGGATATAGCCTAGCCAATGCAATTAACTAAGATTTGGCAAAATCTTGAGAAAGGCGCCAGGTTTTTTGCCAAAAACCAGCTGCCGGACCTCAGCATTGCTCATCCGGTGTTCCCAGCAGACGTGAGCAATACTTCGAAAGCACCGGTGGTCAAACACGACCAAGCGTTTAATGTATTCACTGCGAACTGGCAATATCTGTGACATATACAGTAAGACCGGCCTTACCGCAGGGTTATACACCCTAACTTTCACTGACACGCTGCCGTCTCCATAGATGGCTGAACCACTGGAAAGCCACACGGGCATTGCGGATACAAGAAATAACTTTCTCAGGGATGTGACCACCAGAAGTGGCAAAGCTACCAAGGTAAGTGAACAGATCCATCAGTTCCAGGGGGAATAGTTGAAAGCGAAGGTGAGTCGATCCAGTCCTGCAACCGCACCTTGCAATTTGAAGGTGCAAAGTACACGCCAAAGCGTGCAGCGTTACGCACAAGTCTGCGCAGTGGTGTTTGCATAATCAATGCGTCCATCCTGAGGTGAACTATGTCGTCCGCATACTTCAGGTTTGTCAGTCGGTCGCCTGATAGGACTTTCACACAAGAATAGTTTGAAAGAAGCGAGTCATTCATGATCGTTCCCATCACAGCAGTATTGCCAAATGTTGATGTTGAAAAGCCCAACACAAATGGCGCGATCTCAGGTGTTGCCAGTTCAGCAGAACTATCACTAAACACCAGATGGTGGATCTTTTGATGTATCCTATAAATTCTCCAGCATGGGTGGCCTGTCTAATGCGCTCATGACGGTGCCAAGACTAACCGCAGTTATAAAACTTGTGTGGGGCAACAGGAAATTTGGTATCGCACTGGTATACTCGGTAAAAAGTTCTGTCTACTGGCAGAATATCGGCTACCTAAGTCCTAAAATCCATTGTGCCTTAAACCAGGGGCGCGAATAAAATTGACTTTCGACGTCAGTTCTAGGAAGAAAGCAGTGTGTACCCGAGGGCAGTACATCCCGTCTCTTCGGACAAAATATCGCGCAAATTCGTTGCCGAGTAAGTGAATTGATTCCAACGTACGATGAGTTCGTTGGCACACGTATACAATCGGTAACCAGAGCCAAAGAACACCTTTCAGCTAGGAGAGGGCACTCGCTTTTTTCATGCAATAACAAATCGCCAGATTAGGGGACCATGTCAGTAGATTCTGTAACAACCTTGATTGAGATGTTTGATGCGAGAAGTAACACTAACAGAGGACAAAGAAATCCTGACTGCAGTAACGTCCATCAGGTGTCGCCTTGTGTTCGCGTTGTTGCAAACACCACACATGGGGTTCACTGCTTCCACTGATTGAATGCAATGGCATTGTCAGCTCGGACGAGGATGAACGCAACCTACTCAGGGTTTCACGATGGCACCACTGAAAGTAGTAGGACCGACCTGCCGACAACAGAGGTAGAAAGCCCAATAGCTCATGTAACGCGAAAGCGATGATCCCCGTCTTGATTCTGCGACATATGCGGCGTCAGAATAGGATTTCCTTCAGTATGAAAGGTCATGTATACAAAGCCACAGTGAGAGCCCCCAACTTTGGGAATGGAACCTATCCCCTGTTTGAGGATCAGAGGCGCCTTGAAGTCTCTGATGATCGGTGCTTGCAAAACATTGCTGACATCGAATGGCACCATGGTACTCCGCAGCGATTACATGCTTAGACAAGTGCTAAGCAGTGATACTCAAGATAGTTCCTTAGAACAACAGATAGCACTGAAAAAGTCGCGTTGGCTCGGGCACGTATTACGTATGCCTGGTTACCGCTTATCTAGGAGAGCTTTGTTTAGTCTACCAGGTGTATGGTGGCGGAAAGCTCGAGGTGGACAAAAGATGAGTTAGAAGCGCGGAATTCACTGAAGACCGAACTGACTGCCATCGGTCTGTCTCACCTTCTGGACTGGAGTTCACGCGACCCGGCTTGTGCTTGGCTCGAGACTTTACAGCACATGTCTCGCAACCGATGTCAGTGGCGCGACTGCTGTCGTTTCCTAGTCGGGCTGATTGTTTAAAGGGTGTTTGGAGCTGATTTATTTGTGGGGTGATGGGTGATTATGACGCGTGATAGTGAAAGCTGCAAGGAAGCTGTCTCGCCGATGCCTCCTTATCTTTGTACGACAGCCATCTGTTTGTGACGGTATGTTGTCCACACAAGGTGTAAGTGCCTTGACTCTGATAGTTTGCTTAGGACATTAAGGTTTTCCGGTAAGTCCCACTTCTCATGGTCTTATTTTTCTTTATTCTTTAGGTCACTGTGGTTGTACAGCAACAAAGTTTCATTTCAAATGCTCGGTGTACTGATGATGATGAGGCGCGAAAAAAAGAAATCAAGAGCAAAGCTTTTGAGTAACCTTTGAATGACCAAGCACAACAGAGTATACCATACGATTCAGGGTGCCTGGAAAGCAGGCCCACATGCGATCGGATACTTTGCAAGGCTGTTCGTTAATATGTCGAGGAGGGCTCACCTGCTAAAGAAAAAAATCTCAAGGAACCGCGAGCTAGAGCTTAGTATAGAAGGCAAGCACTGTGGCACGCCCTTCCGCGACAGCTGGATATAGCAGGCGCTAGCAAATGAATAAAAGGTGTATTTCGAAGTATGTCCGTCAAATCTGACGGAACATCTTTGCACTATACATCGTTCTAACGCAGATTAAATTGGGAATAAATTTGCATTTCAGGCTCGGACAGGTAACGGCCAGTTTAACTTCCACTGATGTAACTAGCGAGCCAGTTGGAGAACGACGTTTGGTGGGTCCGATATGAAGTTATGTGCCTCTTTCTAAAAGCTTACATGCCGGAAAGGTGACAAGATGTAGTCCTGCCGAAAATATCCACGAGGACAACAACACCATAAAACCGTTGGTTATGGTCCACGTTTCGATAGTTCGTGTGGTCCTCTGTCAGTGAATGCGGCAAATCTGTTTGCGCGGATAGCAAGTGGATGGACAGAGAGGATAAATGAGTAAGGTTGTGTTGGCCGCAGCGCCAACAACGAAGGAAGTGAATAGCGTGGTGCTAATAACAGAACATAGGAACTGTGTGCACTCAAAGCGGAGATTCATCACGGGATCGTACGAATCAGAACTTGCAGAGCCACCCTCCCATAAGGTCAATAAGTCAAAGAAGCTAGGAAAATGTGGGTGGCTCAAATTAGTTGGTCAACTGATTACTGAAGTGTGGTAAGTCAAATTGCCGCTGCCGCCAAATAAACAGAAAAGGTGCTGAAAATGGTAAATTAATATGCGAAAATAAAAAGGAAAATATGATGGAGATAATCCGCTATCAAGTAAGATGGTTCACAGCATGGTGTGATATTAAGTGTTGAACCTTTCGACTGAACTGTAACAATGAATGACCTAGCAAAAAGCGTGACCTATCCCCAGGTCCGGAAACAAAACACTCACCAACGGGATGACAAGTGCTCCCCGATCACTTCGTTCAGTGGAGATGGACTCTTAACTAACCAGGTGCAAAAACGGCAAACAGTGCAGGCATAGAAGTGTAGGCTCTCACCTCGCGACAATCCTTTGTAATTTGGACGTGTGAAACATATGCCAAAGTGTACACCCCCCCCTGACAGTCTGTAGAGCAGTTCGCTCACAATGGCTTGGTCACAGCACAAAATAGCTACGTCGTAAGAGTAAGCCCAGTTTAACGGTCGATCAGTTAATGGAAGATCAACTGTAGCAGACACAAAGAGTACGGCCACGCATGATCGTTAGGATAACAGGGTTAAAAATGAGATGAAAGCCGGTGGTCCGGATGCATACAACTTGTTGCCATGTACACAGCGCATAAAAATAGGTGCGCTTAGCTAGTCCAAAGAAAGACTGCAACAAAGGAGGATATCCAGAGCACACTAGCAAGTAACATAGGATAATGCGGAGAGACGTTAAGGAGGAAATTGATAATGGACACCACGGAGTGAGTAACCTTATGCAGACCAAAGCTAAAATCACCCGATTGCTTACTCTGATTGACATTTAATACTAATCAAGTTAAACCGCCAACTGAATGTGCCATTGGATGAGTCGCAAGGAGCAGATGGTGGAAGAGCGCAACAGTGAGGAGATAACAGTTCACATTTGTAGCCAAATTACAAGATATATATGACAACCAGCGGTGCGAAATGTATTAAGTAGCGTGCTCAGTTCCTGACCTTTCTTATCTTCAGCAGCTCATGATCGCGAAATTCGGTAAGCTGAGCCCGTAGCGTCGCCTCGTTGTTGGTGAGGAACGCGTCACGGCAGCGCCAGTACAGATCTTCAAGTGGCATACCTAGAACGAGATAGAAGTGACGCATAAACAAAACATGTTTTAAGTGTTGTCAATTACTGTGTTTGTAGGTTGGAGACATTAAGAGGAGCATATCTCACAAAAGAGAGTGCGAAAGACAGCAAGAAAATGAATAAAGATAGTTCAGTCGAAGCAAGTAACCTTGCGGCGAAAGTGTGCGATTAGAGGACAATACAGGCGAAGCAACAAGGGAAGATCAATGGGCTCATGGGCACAAAATCACTTGCGAAAACAGGATAATGAGTGCAGGATTAGACCGTTCTAATATTCGTGCCAAATTCGGATGGCACTACAAAATAATGCGATTACCAGATACGCAGTCGGTCTCAAATGCATTGCAACCAGATTCGCACAAATGAGATTCATACAAGTCCAAGAAGGTAGACCCGAAAAAGTTAACGCTAAAGACGGTTTCATAGCTACTTAACACACTAATAAGGAAACAAGGACATTTTAAAATTTAAGGCACCGTTTTACACTAGCTCCTCCAAATTCCGCAGTACAGTTTAGTTCAGTTGAAGAACTATGATGTGGGCTCTGAAATGCTGTGGGTCCAATTGCCACGACTCACGCCACCAGAATAACAAATAATAAAAAATAACCTCTCCTAGTTTCAAATGTTATGGACATAACGTGTAGCGAGAGGACGTCATCACCTCGCAGGCTAGCCACTGTCAGTGACAGCGGAAGATAGTTGGTGCTATATCCCATTTAACTTGCAAATTACGTAGCCCAGCCAACGTACCCCATGGCTCAGTGGCTTAAGCTGCTGGCCGGTTGGCATCTGCTTCTAGTGGTCATGGGTTCGATCCCCAGTAGCGGACCGCGGGAATGCGCACTACTGACGAGCTCCAATAGGGCGAAACGCGTCTGGTGCTTTTCTGGACTAGGCTGTACTAAGTAGATTGTGAACTACTGGGATAAATACGTTAAAAATTAGTAAAAATGGTAATTAAATGAGGTTGATCGCAAAGAATATGGAAGTAAGACAAAAGTGTGTAAAAAATAATCCGGATGAAATGGAAGTTAAGAATAAAATGCGCTAAACCGAGTGCAGGAATGCCTTTGGCTGATGGGTTTTCGCCTGACAAACGTTCTCCTTATCAATGGCCACATATGTCCGTTTAACAACACAGTGACGTGACAGATGTGACTCGCCACTAAATAGTCAAGTGGTCCGCGTCGCGAGCTCACACATGTGAGCCCCTGTCAGTGATGGGCGAGGAAGATTGGGAAGGTAGAAGTTCCTTATACAGAGGGAACTACATGAGCATCTTTTCAGAAGAGCCAAACGCTTCGCTCAACATTAGTGCATTTAAAGGGCCCACTTCCAGGAAATAGGACAACAAACTGTCTACAAAATTAGTTACACATGTGTACATATGCCAAACCGCAATAGAAGTGCGAAGAAAAACAACAGAGGTATGTAGCGCTGTTGCCGAGGAACAAGCTTGAAAACTGGACTCTACTAAGGAATTCTGCAGAAGCGATGCATGTGATAGATACAGGTTGTGAGATCAAGTTGAATAACGTGAGAATCATTAGGATGGGCTTACGATCGACGCTCCAAAGACTGACTGCTGAGATGGTTAAAATTAGCAAGGTGAAATGCTGCTTGAACAGAATGGACGGGGTAGAGCTTTCAAAGATGTGGCGGACTGTCTTAACCCGACGTCGGTAGACAGTTCCGCGCAGCGAATCGACGTCACATCATCCCCACACCCATAACTGATAGAGACCTACGTGTGTGACCTTGCAACGCGGACCACTTGGGATCGTTCTATACACCAGCTGAAGTGACAATTTGACCTGTAACGTAACTTTCTAACTACACTTCATTCGACGTAATATTCAGTGGGCTATAAGTGCCATACCGACGGCCTGGTGAATCTTTGTGCCAAAAGCGGAACGTTGCCCACAAACTATACCAACCGGTTATTATTAAATCCTTCTGAAAGCACTGTCGCTTGCTTTACTCCAATGGAGTATTGTATTCCAACACACTATTGCTGAAATCGTGGAGAGGATTGAGCTCCTTTTTGTTAACCAACCAAACGGAATGCGCCTGAACTGAGCGAGCAATCATTGGCTCCCAGTGGGCACAATTCCTTGAATTCAGTCCGCTTCCTTGCGGGTAGGCTATTTAGGCAAATGCTCGGGGTGGTGCCCCCTAGGTCAACTCCCTACTTAGGCTTGGGCAACCGGGTAGCATCACGTCTACTGACAAAAAAACGATGAACTACACTCCAATGTTTGTCCGGCACCGTTCCTGCTTCTTGCGTTCGCGTGACTCCTTCATACGCCATTGGTTAGTCGTTAAGAATCCTTGTTATCCGCCACCTGACCTGTGTACATGGATCAACCTGCGATTCCGGTTGTACAGCGAACCATGGAGTTCAGCCTGTGGCCCTCCTTCATTCCCGATCCTAGTCCCGTCCAGAATGCTTTAACTTGAGGACACTCATAAAGATTAGAAAGCAAGTCGGTCTAGTGTGCACCCAGGAGTCCCATGATGTTGACGCATGCTACCTTTCCGAAACCCTATTGCAGGACTGTGCTTACACTGTCATTCCCCCCCCCCCCCTAAATACGAAGTATGATAGACCCTGCGATTTTCTCGAGATAAAGAAGCAGCCTCAGCGGGTTTGGCTGGTGTAATTGTGGCACTAAGTGTCAGGGCTGGACTGTTTCCCGATTAACATCAGAGTGAGTGCAGTTCGGCTTTGGGGTTCATGTATAACCAACACGCCGCCAGGAGAGACGCAACTTGTTTGTGATCTCCACGTACGTTCCAACTAACCGCAGTAGTGGCTAGGTCAAGGACGACTTTTATTGGGAGCATCACCACCAACTAAGCAAGACTAGCATATCAGATGTCGTTGTCATCGCTGAGGATTTCAATGCATGGGTTCGCCGCCTGTTAGAATGCGAACTTCACCTTAGTGGTCACCAAGCGATCGATGAGCACTACTCAGATAAGGGAGAGACATTTCTTACATTGTATAAAGACAACCATTTGTTTCTCTCGAACAACTACATCAGGCATACGAAAGGACATTCCACAATTTAATGTCACCGTTCGCCAACACAAGTGTGTTCTCAAACTGACCATATTACTATCAGTCTCACATGTCCGGCCACGTACGAGAGTGAAGACACTTTTGGTCCATTTTCATTGATTCAAATCACGCGTTGGTCTGCGCGGAAATCTGCATATGTTTTTGGAGGCCTAAAAAACAAAATCACCGCAAGATTGATGCGAACACATTAACCAGGCGAGTTATTAGTCTCGAATGGCAGATGCTCTCAGTCGCAATCTACCGTATGACATTGAGAAACACCACAGGTTTATACAGGTGATGATCACTTCCGGACAATGCTGCGGTTTAGCGTGACGCCCATTAAATGCTTGGGTGTTTGTTCGCTCTATGAAGCTGTTCGACCGCCGCAGAGAAATCCCGGAAGAATTAGACCGCGACGAGCGACGCCGCTCTGCCAACCGGCCCTTCAAGTAAAGCTTGTGCAAGGATTACGAGGCTTGGTGGTCTGAGCGTGCTTTAGTAATGGAGACTGCCCCCCTCTGTGGCAACACCCGCAAGCCTTTCCAACTCATTCGGTTTACTGGCTTCAGCAACCCCGGCGTCAGTGAGGTTATCTGCAAGGTAGACGGGCCACGGATCACTAACCAGCAGCGGCGTTTGGGCTGTCAGGCCGAGCACTTTAATTTGCAATTCAACTGGCTTACGCCGTGCATCAGCACATGCAGTACACCTTGCTGCCTACCCTGTTTCGACTATCTGGACGCACCCAGCGAAGCGGAAGTCTGCCTCAACATTCGAGGATTAAAGTGATTTAAGGCTGCAGGATCAGAGTGACTTCCTCTGGAACTAATCAGGGTAGTAATCAGTGTAGTAATCATCAGCCAGCTGATTTCATTGTCCGTAAACATAGCATGCAGAAAAAGTGACTCACTATCAGGACGAATCAGTCATTGTTCCAATTTTCAATAAAGGCACTCGCACTTCATATGTCAATCAATTCGATTGCCTCCAACCTACCGTTATCTATCTTGCGTCGTAGACTATCCCCAATAAATGAATCGTATTATCGTGAAAAACAAGATGGTTTAGGTCCAGGCCAAGAATGTGTGGATGAAATCTTCACGATCCGCTAACGTCGCAAATACCATCACCTTTACCACAGCGCAACCATCGTCGCAGTCCTAGACCTACTCTTTACGGCGTTTCTCACTAAAGAACGGGATGTCAAGCACAGCACGCAATTTACCGTCATGTCTCCGACAGAATAAGTGGCTACGGCAAGCTTTTTTCGTCCTTCGTTGTGGAAAGCGGTATAAAGTCCAAAAGAACTTTGATTTCCTGCATTAAATGAATTATTCCCCCTTACTGGTTCAGTTATCCTAATCACACATCTTTCCGCCGTTCAAGGTAATACCGTGCTTTTCGCGCGTTAGACCATTACATGCTCAAGCGAGTATTGTTTTAAACTCATTTCATTTGCATGCACTTGTCTCAAAGTCACGCTTTCATTCCTCTACTATTTAAACATTATCTGTTTCCGCCCGTCGACCTCAGGTTTCAAACCGAGTCCAGTATGGCATATTATTCTACCCTTCAAAACAACGGTTACAGAAAAATAGTACAAATTCTTCAGTCCCAACCGTTTTCTGCCGAGACTGTGCGTATAGTCTAGGTTCACAGCTCGAAGCGGCAATATTTATATACAACTCGCGTGACGTAATCCGATTTAGCGCAGTTCCGTCGTTACAAGAGGGAGTGCGACAGAGTTGCCATATGTCCCCATTCCTCATCAACTTTGCAATCGAAGACGTCCTATCAAGAGCTCGAGAACCTTCCCAAAATTTTCGAAGGGGCGCGAGAATGAATTAGATTACGCTGACGATATTGCCATACGTGGCGATGATGCGCAAAGTATGCTCAGCAGTTAAAGCACCTAGGTAT